AAGAGCGGAGATTCGGATTTTGCTTGGTGCTTTGTGCACTTGCGGGTGTGTGTGTGTGTATGTGTGTGTGTGTGTGTGTGCGCGCGCGCGCGCGCTCTGGGGTCTAGGGGAGGCAGATAATTTATTTCCAAAGGTCTACAGAGCAAGAGGAACTGTACTAAAGAAACGACGTCTTAAGAGCCTCATCAGCATCTGTACTTAATTTACGTGACAAGATTCTTGACTTTGAGCTGATGCTATAATGAGATGCGATTTGGGAGGGGCCTTGGAAGTCGGTGATTGTTTTGTATGCCGAAGGGAAATGAGTCACCAGGGGCCGGAGGGCAGACTGTGGTAAGCATCCATTAAGGTGGCTCCCAAATGATCCCCGCCTCCTGCTATTCATAACCTCATGTAATCCTCTCCCCTTGGAAGTAAGCTGAACATAGTGACCCACTTTTAATTAACCAAGTACAAAGATGAGGGGATGCCACTTGTAATATTAGGTCACATAAAGGCTTCGGCTTCCACCTTGGGTACCCTTCTCTTGCCTGCTCACTTACAAGGAAGCCAGCTGCCATGTTGTGAGCTGCCCATGTGGAACGGAATTGATGTGTCCAGCCAAAGGCCAGCAAGGACCCGAGGACAGCCAACAGTTTTAATGAGTGGGTTTGGAAGATGATTCTCCTCCCATAAAGCCTTCAGATGGCTGCTGTCTTGTTGAGAGACCCCAGGAGCCAGAGGCACCCAGCTGAGCCATGCCTGGATTCCTTACCCAAAGAAGCTGTAAGATGACAAATGTATGTTTGTTTTAAGCCACTAAGCTTTAGCGTAGTTTGTTACACAACAGCTAATGAACATACTATCACAGCCCTTACTCTGTGATTCAGTGAGTTAAAATAGGGATTCTGGGCTTCCCTGGTGGCGCAGTGGTTGAGAGTCCGCCTGCCCATGCAGGTGACGCGGGTTCCTGCCCCGGTCCGGGAAGATCCCTCATGCCATGGAGCGACTGGGCTCGTGAGCCATGGCCGCTGAGCCTGCGCGTCCGGAGCCTGTGCTCCGCAACGGCCCGCGTAC